GTGGCCCCGCGGCCGCCGGGCGCGCAGCTGTTGATATTCCTGCTGCCGAGAGCACGGAGTCGCTTGTCAAGCCTGTGGCAATAGCACCTACCCACTGCAGTTAATGGTCAGTGTGTGACCGCCCCCCTCGCACAGTTTCCCAGTCAAATGAAAGTCACCCCCAGGGAGCTCCCCCCCCCCTTGATTTCAGGGCTGGAGGAGTCGAATCATGTTCCCCCACCCTCTCAACTCCTCTCGCTCTCTTTCGGTCACAGGATTCTCCCAGTGTCCGAGTGTGACTCAGATTAGGCCTGGATCCTTCATCTTGGTTGCTTATACTCAAGACATTTTAATAAGATTTTTAAACTCCTAAGTTTTTTTTTCAAGCTAAGATTAAAGCAAATCCTGAGATATTTGTCATTGCAAATTAAGCGTGTGAACGGATGAGTAAGGTTTCCTGAATCCTTCTAGGCACCCAGTTGTGGAAAAGGAGGAATTTATCTTTTTAATAATTTTTTTATTTTTCAGATTACAGTTAACATACACTACTATATTAGTTTCAGGTATACAACACAGTGATGAGACATTTATATAACTTAGGAAGCGATCACCCTGATAAGTCTAGTGCCCATCTGACACTACACATAGTTATTAAAATATTGACTGTATTCCCTATGCTGTATTTATATCCCAGTGACTGTTTTTATAACTGGCAGTTTGTACATCTTAGGGGGACTTTATAAACCAGATTGTCAGGTATTAATATAGCCATTTAGATTTTGTTTCAAAGGAAACTTCAGCCTAAAGAGGGGCATACATTTACATTTTTCCTTATTGCTGAAGCAATAAAATATTAACTTTAATGGTATCTCTAATATGAGAACATAGTAAGAAAACAGTAAAATAGCTCAATTGTTATTAAAAATAAATCCCTTCAAATCAATTCTGACAAATGTGGTCGCAGAACAGAAAGCACAGATATGGATATATGATTTTCTAGAGGACTGAAAAATATTTCTGCAATCAGATTCTGTTCTCCTTAGTCAGGGAAATTTGAATTCATTGGAAATTTACACTAGAGGGGAATGCATATGTCACCAAGTTCTTAGAATATTCCCCACTGAAATTTCACAGATACATAGAATTTTGAGGCCAAGAAGGATCATCTGCTCTTGCTTTCCCACAAGCCTCCCACTCCCTTCGCCTTTTCTCTTCCCTCCCAATTTAAAATGGTTTCTTATGTTGATGTCTAAAGCACAGATTTGTCCCAATATAGTATCACCAGAGACTTAAAACAGAAGCGTGCATGACCATGACTGGGTTTTAAATTGAAAAGCTGTTCAAAGGTGAGAAACGGCGAATACAGGCTGCTATTTTAGAAACACGTGCCTTGCCCACATTTTTATGGTCAAGCTCGCTCCTTCCACCTGTCTGTACTTGCTGAGGAAGACTTTCTGGCTTCAAATGGCCATCTGGTTGAGTAGGCCCACAAAACCGAGACCCACGAATTCAGCATGATCTCATGTGGATTGATTTCCATACACTTCTGTTTCTTGTCCATCCCAGTCAGTGTTTCAAACCTGCAGTACAGTGTGAAGGTCAAGTGACATTTCAGAAATGTGGAGAATGTTGACCTAAATGGTGGCCATCAACCAATCTCCTGGATCTGTCTCTAACAATCTGTTTCCGTGGTGCCTGCAGTATTTGTTTAATCTCACAAAGTATTGATATATTTAAATAAGAATTCACATGTGGCTCCATGATGCTTCTAAACACTCATTTTTATAGTAAAGTATAGCAATAGAGGTTTATGGGAGGGAAAAGAGACTTTTGTAGGCAATTTTAAAGTCCTTTATTTGGTAGGTGATTGTGAAGTCAGCAGTAACCTAGCGAGTAATTCAAATAGTGTTGTTTCCTACCTGTTTAAACAAAGTTATTTCATAGCTCTTGATTTAGAAGCCTCCTTAAAATAATACCACATTAAAGCAGGATAGATTAGCTGACTTTTCTACATTAACTTTGTAACCAAAATGTGTCATCCAAGTGGACTCTGGAACATGCCCCTTTAGTGACCATTAACATATTTCATTATGAATCCTTATGCTCTCTGCCTGATTAATATTCAGAGAGGCTTCTCTTTCCAGTAGTAGCATCAGGGGTTCATCTTTCTGCCTGTTTTAACATCACCATTTTCTGAAAAGAGTGGGAACTTCATTTTATGCAAGTACAAATTCATATGAAAAGTTAAAAGTGATCTTTTAAAATATAATCTCTTGCCCTAGCCAGATGGCTCAGTTGTTTGGAGCATTGTTCTGTACACCAAAAAGGTTGCGGGTTCAATTCCTGGTTCAGGCACATACCTAGGCTGTGGGTTCGATCCTTGGTTGGGGTGCATACGGGAGGCAACCAATCCATGTTTCTCTCTCATATCGATGTTTCTCTCTCTCTCTCTCCCTTCTTCTCTCTCTAAAATCAATAAACATATCCTCAGGTGAGGATTAAAATAAAAATGAAATATAATCTCATAAGTGACTTTTAAAATGCTCAAGGATTTAAGTTTTGTGTATAGTCTGTAGAACTACTTATTAAACTGTAGTTTTAGATTCCGACTCTCAAAGGACCAACTTTCTATACTTAAGATAAAATAACCCCTGAGGGGCCAGCACTAGTTCTCCGGTTGCTCAGGGCTAGATAATAAACCTGAAGAGATTTCACAGCAACGAGAGCAGACACTAGGTCACCATGAGTCAAGGGCAAGCAGCTTCTGCCAATGTCTACACAACTGAAAAACCGGAGAATGAAGCAAAGTGGCAGAATGTAGATACCTGGGGGGCAGGAATGTTGTCTGGCTTATCCTGCTGTTTCCCCAGAGCCCAGATAGCACCTGTCACATGGTAGCCATTAAAAAAATACTTGTAGAGCCCGGCGGGGTGGGGCTCAGTGGTTGAGCATCGACCTAGGATCCAGGAGATTGTGGTTTGATTCCCGGTCAGGGCACATGCCGGGTTGTGGGCTCGATCCCCAGTCAGGGGCGTGCAGGAGGCAGCCAATCAATGACAACACTCTCATCATTGATGTTTCTCTCTCTCTCCCTCTCTCTCTTCCTCTCTGAAATCAATAAAATATATATATATATATATATAATTTTAAAATACTTGTAGAAAGAAATGAAAGACCTTCACCGCACAATAAGCAGGAATAGTGTGGAAACTTTGATGACCTAATAGATGACATCTGGCAGACTCATTATTTTCTTTATTGAGGCATAATTGACATATAACATTATATTAGTTTCAGGTGTACAACGTAACGATTCGATATTTGTATATATTACAAAATGATCGCCATAAGAAGTCTAGTTAACATCCACCTAGCAGACTCATTAACAGAGCCATTTAATAACTTTGTGAATTTAAATATTTTGGTCGTAAGTCTAGGCCACCCCGATGAGAGCCACACTTCTTGAAAGCACCGCCTCTCCTCCTGGCCTCTCGTTGGCACAGCCCAGTGCAGCCTGCCTTCAGCTGGGCGCGCCACTAATGCTCTCGCCAAGGTTAATGACCTTCTGGAAACACGTTCATCTCCACGTCTGTGGCCCCGCTCCCGCCTGGCCCTCCTGCTTCTCCGGGGGTTCAGTATTAGTATTCTTCAGCATTTGGGCCCGGGTCCTCCTGTTTCAGTACCCACTGAGCTTCTACTTCAGCTGTCCTTCAGAATGCCAGCGGTGCCCGAACCTTGACCTCTGTGGCCAGCTCCCGAGCACCCACAGCTGCCTACCTGCCGTGTCCATTTGCTGCACCCTGGACACTCAGACCAAGGGAATGTGGGCATCGGCCGCTGGCTGCCCCAGCCAGTAACCTGGGCAGCTTCCCACACGTCTCTCCTGCTCCATCCATGCCATCGCCAATAACTGATGAATAAATGAACTTAAATTCCCAGGGGCTCATAACTTCAGTCATTGATAATTTAGCTAGGTTCTTGGGTTTCCTTTTTTGTCCCTTTGCAGACCTGCTTCTGAATCAGGTGTCTGTCAATCTAACTCCCTGTGACTAACCAGGACAGATTACCGAAGCCAGCCGATGGCTGCATTATTTATTATGCCTGGAACAGGAGGGCTGTAAGGACATCAGCACCAATACAGAGAGTCCCTTCAGTCTGAAAGGAGCATCTGCGCCTTTCAAACAATGGAAATTAGATTAATGAAGGGAATATACTAATTCCAAATATGGCAAAGTAACACTGGGTTCTATCACAGCACATTTGTTCCTCTTTTATATGCAGGTCAGGGATTAAGAATCATGTTGCATGAAGCAAGGGACAGACAGAAGTTCCTCAGTGATGCTCAACATCTGCGGGACATGCAGCATAAGGTGGAGTCTGAATATCAGGTAATTGCAGAAAACAAGAGTTACCTTCCACCTCCACTTACAGCATTAGGAGAGGATTCGGCAGACAGTATCAGTGTATGATGAGCTGCAATAGTTTTCTAAGATCCAAAACCCACCACTCACAAGCTGTGTGACCACAGAAAGCCACTTTACCTCTGAGTCTCAGTTTCCTTGTCTGTAAAATGGGGATAAGAATAGTACCCACCTCCTAATATTATCATGAAAATAAAAGGAGATAGCCTTTTTAAAGTATTTAGCACAGAGCTTGGTACACAAACTTGGTCAACAAATGACCTTAAGGCCTGGCTGGGTGTGGCTCAGCAGTTGAGCATGGACTTAGGGTCTAGGAGATCACAGTTTGATTCCCGGTCAGGGCACATGCCCGGGTTGCAGGCTCGATCCCCAGTCGGGGGCATGTAGGAGGAAGCCGATCAATGACTCTCATCACTGATGTTTCTGTCTCCCTCTCCCTCTCCCCTCCTCTCTCTGAAATCAATAAAGATATGTTTTTTGTAAAAATGACATTAGGGCTTAAATTTGATAAACCTGCTATCAAGGAAAAAGACATTAAAGAGTAAATTGGGTTGCCCTACCATTTATAAAATGACATGGCCCTTGTTGTCATCCTGCCAGAAGAAAGGTGGTTAGCACATTCCACAATAAGCTATTCGTCACCCTAGCTACAGTGTTTACATGCAAAAACAAAACAGACAGCCTGAGGAGTCGTGATGCAGTGTCCCAGCGCTGGCATAGGACAAACTTGCCAGACGGGATGTGGGATTCTGGGAGCACTTAGGAAGTGTCATTCAGCCCGCAGGCGCTGGCCCAGAGGTCAACTGTCACCCACCCAGGAGGCATGTCCTCAGCCCATTGAAAAGTGCTCCTTCCCTAAGGAAGACACAGAACTGCCTTTATCAGGTTCCTCTCCTACCTTAGCAATTTCAAATATAACTGAATCTCCCAGGTCACCAAGGAAACCAGACCTATCTCAGTAACCTGATTTCACCCGTGTAACACAGCTTAGCTGTGGGGCTGGAAATGAAGTCAGCACATATCTCCCACAACTTGGCAACACACCTACAAGACTATAAAATTGAGGGAATTTGTATAAAATGAGTGAGAAGATAAACATTCAAACTGGTCACACTGGGAGTGCATCTACTTCTCACCAAGATGCCTCTGCCACCCGACCCATGTTTTGAAACACTTGTTTGAAATTGTCTTCAGAATGGGCATGTAAGATAATCAATCTTATCTTATGGTCTCTGTTGAAAAACAAAAATCATACAACTGTGGCTTGGAGCCACTGCAGTTTTGTTTCTAATCTCTGTTGGGCTTTCAACACTGTTCTTATTCATAAGGGCACTTTCAACACTGTCCTTATAAATAATAATGCTTAAGTGCCTACTATGTCCTGAACAAAGTCCCTTTTCTCCCAGAGTTCTTATCTAGAATTGAGAAGCAAATAATTCACATGGATAAATAAATATGTAAGATCGCTTCAGTTACTGATGAACATAATAAGGCAGATAAAACAGGTCATAGGGGTGGGATGATGCTCCTTTAAACAGGCAGGGGAGTCCTCTCTGAGGAAGCAACTGTGGCCGTGCACGTAAATGATGGGAAAGGGCCAGTCAGGACATCCTGAGCAAGTGCAAAGGCCCGGAGGCAGGAACTAACTTGGAGCATAGGAGGAAACAAAAGAAGGCCAGAGTGCCAGCAACACATTGATCAAGGGTGAGTGTGGGAACCGTAGATAGGGCCAGGTTGTGTTTTCCGGGCAAAGCTTGGTGTTTGGAGCTTATTCTGATCGCAGTGAGAATGACTGGATGATTTTTAAGCAGGGGAGTGGTATGATCTGATCCACATTTTTAAAAGCTCTCTCTGGCCGCTGTGTGGGGAAAAGTCTGAAAGGGGCAAGAGAAGTGGCAAAAAAACTAGTAAGGAAACTACAGTGGAAATTTCAGAGAGAAATTCTGGTGGCTTGGGCTAGGGCGGTAGGAATAGAGGTCACGAGAAGTAGGTTGACCCAGGAAATAGAAGCAGCACAGACATCTTGCTGATAGCTGGGGGGGGAGGCTGGGGAGGGGAGAAGAAAGGAATGAAGGATGACTCGATTCAGCACGGTCCCCTAACCATCAACTCCCTCTGTTCTCATCACTACTCTAAACTGCTCTGCTTTTTTCAAAGCTCTACGTTTTTAGCCTTTGTCTTCCGGAGCTTTACCTGCATCTGACACAGTTACTCCTTTCTTCTTGAAACATCACTCCTTTGGGTTCTGACATCACGCTCTCCCCATTTTCCATCTGTTCCTCTCACATCCTTCGCCCGGCCCCTCAAACGTTAATTCCCCCAGCTTTCCGTCTTCCACCCGATTTTTCTAATTCACGAGGCCTCCATGACCCATCTCCTTTCCTCCTTTGTTTTTAACCAGCACTCATATGCCAATGACGTGTAACCCGAGCCTTCCCCAAGTGTCGGAATCAGATGCACCCCTGCTGATGGACCTTCCATCTGGGTGTCGCGTAGGCACCTCAGATTCAGCATGACCCCTCAATAACCTGGTCCATATATGACCGATGTATATTTAGGTAATTTACTAAGGTAGACACCACTTTGTATTGGGTGGATATTAAAACATTTATGAACTTGGCCAGTCACTTGTAGAAACCCCAGCTTTCACTCACAGTGCAGTGACCTGCTTTGACACTAGGGAGCCCCCATTTCTGGGTGTACAAATAGCATAAGACCTAATAACTAGATATGACCCCCAAATCATATACATTTGCCACACATCCCTTCCTGTGCTTGACTCGCTTTTAATGAACTGGCTCAAATTGAAGCCCTTAGAAACCTCCTGTATACACGATTTCTGCTACAGCCTAAAATATGCTACGGGTTGGTATGCACCAAATGAGCAGTGCCTTACAGGTCTGCGTGCGAGCAGCAGGAGAGGAGGGTTCAGCCCACCCTGAGTTATTTTCATGCTACTCCTTTCAGTGGTTGGGTGGGACCCTTTTGAAAAAACAAGAGGAAATAAACATCTATTTGGCATATTACATGCTATTTCAGAATCGGTAACTAGTATATAATTATATGCCATCTCAGAAGTTGGCTCTATTGCTGCAAGGGTGTTCATACTGCATGGCTTTATTTTTTTCCCTTCTCCTTTTGGTCAAATGTGTTTAGGAACCTGGAGACAGAATTTAGCCAGTAACGTCCACTGAAAGCTGGAGGGAAAGATTACACTTGGCATTTCAGAATGATTTTCCATAATCTACCAAATGTAGATCTACCAGATGGGTTTCAACTCATGTCACTTACAAATCCTAATTCCTTCGAGTGCAGATCCAACGCTGAACGTGATATAAACTTGTTCAAGGGCATGGGAGGTGGCGATGCCAGGTGGCGCCGTCCACTCAGAAGGTTCAGGGAATGGAGATAATTCAACTTCCCTTCCCACCTGCTTACCTCTGAGGTCTGTCCTTCTCTACTCTTCTCAGCTAGAACAGGAAAATCAACTCATTTGCGGGGAGTATCACATCAAACTCTTTTTACACCTTTGATTACTTAACCTCTCAGAACAAATGAACTTTAACCATGTCACCAGCAATGATTAAAACCCCAGACTCTGAATTCTGCTGGCTGGATCAAAAGAATAACCAAAAATGACCAATTAAGGCAGTGGCAACTCCCACTTCCCAAAATGCCTGCGCAGTTTGAGCAATAACCTTGACAGGGGCCACTGTTGACTAAGATGTAAAGTTGGGTCTTAGGATGGTTCTCATGCCCCGACTGCGAGGCTGGGGAGTGTTCCTGTGGTACATTGACGGCGTCTTAAGGCACCAGGAGCGCTGGTAAAAGAGGAGACCTATTATAAAAGAAACAAAAGAAGCTTTGAGCATCCCTGTTGACTCAGAAAGCTGTCACGCTGAAGAAAAGTGGTTTATGGAGGGACCCTGAGTGACTGGACAGGCGCTCCTCAGCTGGCCCTGGGGGGAGGAGCGGGCTTTGGAAACACACGTCTACTTCCTGGGCAGAAAAACAACATGAAGCTCAGGCCTGGACAGAAAGAGTCTGTCTTCTTCCATGGCCAAGATCAGAGTCACATTATTTGGCAAAGGCTGACTTTAGACATAGAAGTAAACCAAGAAGTGGGATTGGAAACAATTAAAATGCTCTTAAGATCATAGCAGTGGTGGTGGTGGTGATGAGTGTCTTTTATTGAGCACGAACCACGAGCCAGTCGCCCGGCTAAGCATCTGACCAGCAGCGCCTCGGGCTCCCCAACACTCGGGCCACACGGGGCCATCTCACCCCCCCACACACATGAGGGGAGCGAGGCTCAATGGAGTTAGTCAGCTCGCCCAAGGTCACGATGCTCGAAAGTGGCAGAGCCGGGCTCGTCGTGTGTGCCGGGATTGAGTTACAGTGAGTCACGAAGCCCACGTCGTCCCCCACAGGCCTACACGCACCTTCTGCGTCTGCGCCCACGGGGGTGGCTCCCGCACAGAAAGCAGCCAGACTGCGTGACTGCAGTCGGGGGATGAGCTGGGGGGGGAGGGGG